AACTGCAAGAGAATTAAATGTCGAATCAGTTACTGTATTAGAGGACGACATTCTTTAGTTAAATCACTTTCACGATTTCCACTTAACTTCAAACAGTGTTTTTAGAAAGAGCCGCTGAAAGCTTATTACTACAAAGATTTCCGAATTATGCAGTTCTGTTTAACAAATATGGATCTTCGCACAAATTCAGAATCCTATACCAACAACGACTACTTTGATTGTGGAGTTATTGTAAGTCATTTTTATGAGCTGATCATTTTTCCGCCTGATGAAAAATTTCTAATTATATTATGTTGTTGAAACCAAAATTTCCCTCGTTTATATGTCTCTGTTTTCTTGATGACATGGCGAAATTGTTTTGCATTATTAATATAACAGTTTGTCACTCATTCTAATGAAGAAGAAAGGAATGCGCCTTGCATCACACGAATCTCTCTTCTTCCGCATGATAGGAATATGCGATATAAGATTGAACTGTTAATGTTAAGTGTCCGGTCCAGAGAAGTGTTCGATGCCATTCTTGGTAAAAAATGAACTGCAGTGATTTTCAGCGTACAATGGAAGATATGGCTTATTTCATCAACCTTAACACTAATAAGCTATATCCTTTATGTGATGAAAAAGTGGCTCAATTTGCTGTCATGGATAATGGGAAAGTCACTCTGCTGACTAGAAATTCGGGAAAGGTAAATGTTTCGCAGGATAGATATGATTCGACATGTACGTCTGTTAGGAACCTACTAAAGTTTGGTGACTCCAAAGCTCATGCAAATTTCGATTACATGTTTTTTGGCTCGGGCATGTTTCTTCATTTATTCTGGACATTGTGATCAGATGAATTATTTCACTAATTGTGGATGTAAACAAGATAAAATGGACTGATTTGTCAGTGTAATTTGTTTTATTGGATCGATGGACTATTGAAGTGCTGTAAACTTCCGTTTGTCACTCTTTCCAGTTGATAACTGTTCAAGTTGAGCAGTCGAATTCACGTCCTGCAGATTATGAAGAAGATGAAGATGCTGCTGTAGCTGCGTTATTCAGGAAGATAAGCGATCCACGACAATTAGATGTACAACAAAGTATTGCCTCTATTTGTTATGCATCCCTTGTTCCAATTACAATTTTATAATTAGTCCTTTTAAGCAACACTTAATTTGTTTTGATGGCGTTTTCTTGCTCACTCTGCAATACCATTATTTTCGAGAAAAGTATCGGAGACTGAAGGTGAGAAATAATTTCATTATTAGGTTATATCCATATGTAAAAAATATCATTCGAGAACAAATGCAGGTACTGACCGAGAAACAGCTCGAAATTGTGTAATGGCATCGGAGTATCTGTCGATCGCGGGTCTACGACGAATATGGAAATTAACGAGAAGTGATATTGGCGGACCAATAAGAGGTGCCACTTATCGACTTCCGTATCATATGTAAGTTGTGAAAGCCTGTTTTTTTTAGATGTGCAGGAATTTGTGTCGTAATTTGTAAAGATGAGGAGGTGGGATGGGATTTAGTGTGAGAGAATGGGATGTCTCGTTATAATATCATGTTTGACATGTCAATTTCAGACTTCTCTTAATCTGCATTTTCTCTGAGCAAATTTTTTTCACAATACTTGAGGCCCAGTGAGGGGCTAAAGAGGAAAAAATAAATAAAGGGAAATCCGTATTCCTTTCCATGTAACTGTCCATTTATTGTTTGAATGATTAGGGAATTTGATGGACATAACTCTTCCGACAACAAATTTTGTAAATTCGTAAAATTCCTACTTCCATTCTTGTCAAGGGCATATAGGTATATAGTCTGCTAAAAATTGTGGATGGCAATCTAAATGTTTTATAGTGGTCGACAGCCGGGATATCATCTCGTAGCTCCACCTGGATGGAGTGAAGTACCGGCAAATCAGCGCATCAGAAAATATTTCATCGAAAACATGCCAGTAGAAGGGGTGAGCCGAACCTGGTTTTATCAGTCAGATTGTCGCTATTCGAGTGGCTTACATATTTTCGAATTACTCCATTTTCAGGCTCGTTATTTTTCTTAAACCTGTTATAACCATTAAATTAATTTTGCCTAGCTTTCATCATTTTATATGAAAATTAAAATATGTTGCTTTATATATGTAACTTTTGCACTGACGTTCTGTATTTTGGTAATGATGTTTTTCCAATGCATATTTAGATAAATGTGATTAAACCATATGATTTCGGGTCAGTTTTAGCATGGATTACGCGTTTCGCACGTTGATATCTTTCTGAACTTCCACGAAACATGTCTAGCTTGCCCAGATATCGAATTAAGATTGTACCGTCGGAAAAATAATGGTGATGATGTATCTTCACTCTTGAAAATACATTCACAAACACCCCTTTCTGAAAGTGTTGGTCTGGAAGAAGTCGAAGCACAGGTGAACTCTTTCATTGAATCTATTAATTCCTCTTCCAATGATGTTATTCAGTTGCCGATACCATCGCTTAAAGCTCAGTAGTCTAAGTTCACGTAGTCGTTCTTTGTATGATGAGTAATCTTCCCGAATATGCCTGATTTTATACGGTTTATTACAACCATTACCAGAATTTAATCATTTTCAGTGTGATTTGTTGGCCGGACCGTATCACTGTGCTGAATATGCTGATTTGAATAGTCATTCGGCAAAAATACAACTACCAGGGATTGTTTTCACACCTCAGCTGGTCAAAAAAGGTAAATCTTTAGAAACTGTTCAAATAAAATTCATAAAAGCCATTATGTATTCTTATGGAATGCTAGAAATTCCGAAGAATTGGAGAACTGCCTCCTGTTTTGTTTTAGATGTTTGAATCTTCCAGGAGGAATACGCATGAATTTTCTAGGTGGCAATATAATCGGTTTCAAATCGGTTTCTTACTATCTTGTGTTGAGAGCTCTCTCTGATTTCTCTCTTGATCAGGTAATTACAGCTGTGAAGACAAACGAACGAGAGAAACTTAAAGCGTATGTTATGCTGCTTATCTTTTTTGTTCTTTTTTTTTAAAGTGATAAAGTATTCACGAAATGATTGCTTCAGATTGCTATTTTGTTATTATTAAAGTAAATACGAGTCACCAAGTGCAACGTGGTTACCGTGCTTAGTTTGAACAGGAAAGGAAAAAGAAAGAATTTGCCTAAAAAAAAAAGAGTTACTTAACAGTAGCACTGCTGATAACGCTAATTTGCAGAGCAAGTGCCTCAGGTAAAACGAAATCATCTTCGAAACGTCGTATCGATGACAGAGAATTTACAGAACATTCACAATCTTCCACAACTGCAATTGGAGACTGCTCTGTGCACGGTAAATACCAGTATTATTTGTAAAAATTGTCAGGTTTTGGAAATTTACCAGTGACATAGTACTAAGCCTATTAGTTTTTGATGTATTTCATTTGTTGGTTTCTCAAATTTGATCAGGCCGAACCATCTTCTGAAAATGACAGCTTAATCAGTTGATATACTATCACAATCAGTTATTATACTGTCATGCTTGTTTGGGATTTAACTTTGCTACGGGAAAGTTTGACTAACTACAGCAAATTTCGTATTTGAGGTTTAACTTGTCGGCGTGGAATACAGTGGATAGACGAGCTGGTAATAACAGTGGTGAAGGCGAAAAGAGCTATTGAGCCTAATGAAAGGTACTTTTGGATTTTTGGAATTTGAACCGCACTCTTATTTTTATATCTTCTTGAATATCCATATTTGCTTATTATTTATATACGAATATTTCCAGTCTTTTATGTTCACCACTTTTCTGTTTTTGGCTCTTTGGTGTTGATCATTCTTAAATGCTATGTTCCCTTATTGTGCGATATTAGCTTTAAATTGCGAAGTATTTCATCAATAAGAACTCATGGTTTTAATAATCTTTCAGTTTTTAAATTTTCATGTTTTTCCATTTTTTAATGTTAAACTTTTCCGGGAATAATAGTTGTAAAACAACAAATTCTCGCTGTAAAAGAATAAGTTCTAGACTTTGCCTTTTTAAAGAATTGAAAGACGTGCACTTATTGAAACAACGGATTTGCACAATAATATAATCATGCTAGCTGCCGGTATCGCGCCCAAACTATCGCCAGCTCAAAAAGCTCATACAGAAGGTGAAAAGTTGCAGCAACAGATTCTTGCAATTGACATTATTGAGTGGCTCATCGATAACTGGGTCAGTACTTCGTCGCAGTAAGTTTCAACTAATTTAAGCATAAACTATTATTTTAAAGACAAGAAATTTTTATGAATTATTGGGACAGTAAATTTTGTTTTTCAAATGATTGAAGTAGTAGGCGCACCAGGCATAACGTATGGGAACTAGGTTGGGAAACAGTTAATACCACGCTAGCTTGAACTCTTCCACTGCAAAATTAGCTGACATGTTACTATTTGATTTTGTTAATGATTTCGCTAAGTACATGTCAATGATTGTATTTGTATAACTGTTCTGTGTTATTGTTTGCAATCAGTATAAAACGATCGCCGCTGCCTAATTTTTTTAGGACTCATCTATCTGCTTTTGCTGAAATGATCATCGAAAATGTTGACGCCATTTTCGTTAACTGTTTCATAATTTCGTCACGGTCAATTTCCCACAAATGGAGCGCTACATTGATGTATTTTTTACGGTCAGATGGTTTTATTTGTTTTATATACGGTTTGGTCGGTTGAAAGCGGAAACGTCGGATATTGGAAAATCTGTTAATTAAATACAAATGAAATTACTCTTTAGTTTGAAGTGATTTCTGAAATGTATTTGAATTGAGGAATTTTATGGAGCTCGAATAAAAGTACAACTAATATGGTTTTGTTTTAAATCCCATCGGAGTAACAGCAAAAGGCTAATGTTTCCGAAAAGTTAAAGAAATTAGCAAAAAATTTTACTTTTTTATACTACGAACTATCATTTAAGTGTCCTTCGGAAGTCGGATGAGTGTGCCTCTTCGAAATTGTTACAAATTTTTTTGTCATGTACAGTTCGGATCGTGACGAACTTACATGCAGTTAGAAATGCTGGATCCCTTCACTGGCTCTTGGTGTTTATTTTCACTCTGTTGAAGGTTTGTTTTAGCTGAATGTTTTGAGTAGTTCTTCGTTGGTCATTACAATATGCAATTTACTTTTATTTGTTCTGTAATCATTAAACAAATTTATAAAACTAGTTTGAAATATTCTCGTCATCGTCATTTAAAGGAGCAGTAATTTTAAGTGTGAAATACACTTCTTGGATGCCACTTCTCTCCCTCTTTTGTGGGAGTTAAATCGTCAAATTCTCGAGGCATTTATTCTCGCAGAACATTTGTTTCCTATTTTTTTGTTTTTAATCAGTTTGAAGGATAATCTCTCACATATTTGATCTTGTTTCGAAGTTTGAATATGTTACTGCTCAAAGATGTGAACAGAGATGATGTTTCAGATGGCTGTGATGAAAACAAGCGATGTGTCTTGTGGTGTGCTCTTGAACACTTTGTTGAATGCATTTACAAATACTCTTACATTTGTTGGTATCGCATGGAAACAATGTTGGAATGGTTCGGTGCATGATAAATTGGCTACTGAATATAATCTTAGTGGATTACCTACAGAACTGGTACGCTTAGATTACTATGGTTAACAAAGGTGTCAGTATGTTGTATTCAACATTTATGTTGCCTTATACTTCTGATATTTAGCTTACGTTTGTTCCAATTTTTTGAACTTATTTAACTATTTGAAATTAACAAAAAAGGATTGATCTCGAAAATTATGGTCTTTATTTTTAAATTACTTTTTCTTGGAGGTTATGTATGAATGGCCCCGGTCGGTTCTTTCGCTTTGGCAGCGAACAGCTTCTGCCACTACTAAACCGAACGATCGTAAGTTTTATCATGTACGACATATGTTTTCACATAACATGCTATTTTGATTTCGGGATAAGAATTTGATTTGAAACTAATCCCAGCTAAGTTTGAAAATATGTTAAACAACGAATAAATATAAATTGATAAATTTTTGAACATACGTTTCTGAAATCCGATGAAAATGCATTTTTGTTGTAGCGAGTGAGCTAGCTCATACAACTGCATTTCCACCAGCAACACCAACACTGATTGCTTACAAATGGGCATCCACTGCTGCTGGTTATGGAAAAGAATTTAATGAAATAAAACAATCACAAAATACAGGAGTGAGTCGCTACGAAAAGATTTCCACGGCCGATTCTAGGATTCTCAATAAGGACTGCATTGATACAAACACGAACATAAGTGGATTAACTGCAGAGGTTCGTTCACTGTTTTGCTGATTTACAGTGCGTTGAGACAGCGTGCAATATCAAGGTTATATATCTGAAGAATGTAATTAATCATATACTTGGTAAATGTTGCTGATGCAGTGGTTCTTCCACGAAATATATTTAAAAACTGTTATTCTAAATAATAACGCTGAGTGATGTTTAATAATCCAGATCTCAGGAAATTCTGGATAAATTAAATGTACAATGCCACGTGTTGGACAGTTAATGAAGTAAAAAAAGGGTTTTACATTTCATAAGTCTTTTACGAAAACCACCACGTCAGACCATGTTCGGTTCTCAGTCAGGTTTCTCATTGAATGTAGTGCTGCATTAAATCAAGAAATCTCGAACCAGAGATCGTTGCAAATATTTTTAATGCCGGACGAATGAAATTTGAGCCTTAAACTTGATTTGTTTACACAAGTTCAATTTGTGCGTTGTACTATTTCACCATATTTAGGATGAAATAGACTGGCTGGCACTGTTTAATATATCAACAGATTGTGCGAAAGAAACTTTTGAAAATATTACAGAAGGTAAATTATAGGACGGTCTTATTTTTGCACTACTGCTTTCACCCACACACGTCTTTAGTTTTTAAGTCATTGGAATTATGGATGCGTGCCTCCAATTTTTTCATTGCTAGTGATATTGCATTGTACCAGATCCACACTACTGGTCCACTAACAGCAAATACGGAACTAGTGGTGGGTTTTCAGCAAATTCTCAACGTGAATGCAAATATCAAACAGTAATGACATCCACGCAGTTGAGCGGTTTGCTCGAAACGGAACCACTCACGTTCACCATAATATATGCTTCGGATCACGTTAAAGTGGAAAACGCGGAAACTGGTAATCTTTTATTACGATTTTTTTCTTTTTTTCTTACTAAGGTGCATTATGAAGGCTAAAATTTTTGCTGTTAAAAATTAATTATATTTTATATCGTTCTAAATTATAGGTTTTATAACAGAAGTTGATTGCACATCTGCACCTATTGGTCATACTGAGAATGAAGGTTCTGTGCCATTGAAAATCATGGATATTACTCAAGCAGTTTTGAACAATGTTCGTTGATTTCTTTTATTCATATTTACATTCCATATAAAAATTTGTAGCCAGTTCATTTGTAAAGTTGAATGTTGGATAAGCTGTGGTTCCAGATATGATCAGCAATCGTACAGTTATAGGTACAATTTGATAATAAAAAGATAACACTGTTGTGTAAATTTTCTGAAAGTGAAGTTCATTTGTAAAAGTTTTTTAGTGTTACAGTCAAGATTTGTACTTCTATTAGAGTAATCTGTTTCAGTTGCTTTTTGTTTACGTTAACTCTTTTTCTAACTCTTTGTTTCAGAAGTCAGAACAAAGTACTGAAAATGATTCCGGAGTCTCGAAACCAGTATTTCAAGATTTAAGCGCAGATTTGAATGCACGTATGACGTTGATTGCAATGGAACAAGCACAAAGAAAAGAGGATAATGCAGTTGGAAATGCTGAGCAGAATTCGCAAAGTAAATTGAAATATTTCATTGTTCGTTTAGATGCAGCCAAATGATTTTCTCAAGATTTTGTTCAAAAATTTCTACGAGTAACAAAATACAGTAACAAAATTTCCAACATTGAATGCTATTTTTGACGGAGCGATAATCCAGAAAATTTTAAAGCAATAGCGCAAGATTTCGCCACCCAGGGATCATCAGCAAGCACATTTGGTATTCCAACTACACCAAAAACAACACCATTCATGACACCAACTCCACTCTCTCCATCGCATCTCTCGCCTATAAACTCGCAACCAAATCTGGCGTATATGATGGAAAACGAATCTGGGGTATGAAATTTTTTAAATACTGATAAACTTATAGTCAAAGTGTTTGCTTACTTTTTCCGTTTATCATCATAAAAGTATCTTACCTATCGTTTATTTCATCCCATCTCTCTGGTATGAGCAACTTCACTTTTCCAAAGTAATTTGGAGTGAAAAAGTTTTCATGTTTAGTTTCCAAAATCAAGATTTTGCTTGTCCATGAAATCTCTCACCAGCTGAATTTCTCCGTCTCATGTTTTATATACTTTTGTAGGATGCTAATGAGGAATCTCAGAAAAACTGTAACCAAAGAGCTGAAATAGATCCTCAGATTCCATCACTAGTACCAGTGATTTCATCTGATATCTTTAAGTTGCCATCGCAAAAATTCTTGCTAATGGAAAGAATTTCTTTTGGTTAGTTGCAGCACACTTTTTTAATCGATGTTAAAATTAATTAATCCCTGATATCATCTAGCTTTGTTTTATGTATTAAATTATTTCGTATCGATTGACTAGTACTTTTTCTAATTTTGTTTTTTAATTTATTCCTTCACAAGTGGGAATCATTTTTTGATTTTGTTTTATAGGGTCCAGAAAATTTGTTATATTGGATTTTGGAATGCCTATTTTTCTAACAGATTTATTCATCCCATCAGTAGCAGAAATAGCAGCAATATCTGTAGACGTATGGCTCTTGGGTGAAAATGTTGATGGACAGCGATTACTGATGACAACAGATATATGTCGCAAAAGTATTGCTGTACAAGATCTGCAACCTTTTATGCGAATAAGATTTGTAAAAGTAAGACCATAAGTGCGTGCATTTTATCCGTAACTTTTCACAGCATGAAAACACCTTAAAATTGAGTCAGATTTGTTTTCTGCTGTGATTATAAATAAAATAACATTGCTCATGTGGCTGCTGGTTATACTTACAGATAACTTATGTTGGACGACAGCTTTATAGCGCAGCATGTAAAATTCCAGTAGGTCTCTTTTTTGGGCATCGTTTCTTCTCATCATGGCAAGTTTCTTCATATCCATTTATGCAAAAAGAGTATGCTGCTCGTTATGTACCAACCAGTCAACAAAAAAAGGTTTGTTGCATGTTTCTCTTAAAATCTTTTTTGAACAATGCAAAGAAGCATGGTTTTATTTCTTCAGTAATAATTCTTCAGCTAAGATAAATATCCATGATGCTAGCAATTTATACATATATTGTTCAAATAATTTATACTTTACTCCAAAACATTTCTGTGTTGCATACAGTTTTGCGCCTAAAAATTTTTATTCTAACATCCTATTCTTAATCGTTTTAAGCGAAATTCTTCCGTATTTGTGGCAACCATTTAGCTTTTACTTGTTGCACAAACTTAAGCTATGCAGATAAGAATGAGAGCTTGAATGTTTTTCTGAAATGTTAATCATTTAGTCCTCATCATGTCTATGAATCATCTTTCCTATAGTTGAATCGATGACACGATTCAGTTTTAGATGACGGTTACCTTAAATCATTTGCGTCAACTTTGTGAAGATTTGCGATGCAGGCATCAGCTCATGAGTGCAGAATTGTCTCGTTTAGTGGATGAATGTGCTTCTGAAGAAGAAGTAAAACATGTATACCGCGAATGTGTCCAACTGAGTCTGCAGTGGAATATTGTAGTGGGTGTAGTACATCGCCTGGAATTAGACCACTTACCTTCATATGGTGTGTATTTCCATGCTAGCAATTTATACATTTATTGTTCAAATAATTTATATTGTTAGTCCAAATTAATTTCGGATGAATATCTCTAAATTATTTTCTTTGATGATTCAAATAGAAGAGAATGAAGTTCTTCGATCAGTTGGAAATGTTTTTAGGATTAGTAGGTACCATTTGAAAGTATTACTTAAAAGTCGATTTTTTTTGCAGATTCTGATCAAAATTTGGAAGAAGCTTTACACGGAAGCTGGAATGACTGCTGTCCAGATCAGTTGCGAACTATTGCGGTCGAACTCTTTTCTTTGGTCACTCGAGCAATTCACTTGATTGATGTTCGGACTGTTGCTTTAGAAACGTTTGCCAACGATAATAAAGCCGCAACTCAGGTATTGGCATTGTTGGTATACAGTATAAGTTATTAATAAAATATGCCTTTATAAAATGGTTTTTGCATATCTCATTAAACTCAAAAGGAAAGGCTTGAGAATGGAATTATTTGGTTTTTTATTGTTCGAAATATCATGAGGTGAAGTGCGACTTTACAGGACTGCAAAAAAAAGTGTTGATGAATTACACATTAATTAGATGATTGGACGTCCTTATTGCTTTCTTTTCATGGTTCTTATTTTCTGAACCTCTCAGATCACATTTGAAAAATAATTGCACTTTAGAAATAAAATGTTCGTCTTTTTATATCACAGTTCTTTGGAATTGGTGAGATTTTTTAGGATAATTTTTTTATTTGTAAGACGGTATGCAAATTTTATTTTCTGTAGCTTTATAATAAATTTGTAGCAGTTTTGATTCCTTATTTGCAGAATTGCTATCCAAGTGAAGCAAAATATGCTCGAACAAAATGTAAAGAAACGCTGGAAATAAATTTGCCGTTTCCACCAACCGAGGAGATTGTTTTCCAGCCGAAGTTCAATCTTGATGATGCCGTTACTCTCTTTATTTTGTTTTGCGTTCCAGCCGTCCCGAGACTACAGGTTGTTCAAAATTCAGTTTGTTTCTAGTTTTAAATAGCACTTTATAACCATTTTAATTTTAGGTGGGATGTATCACTTGGCTTTTTCATCATGGATCCGAAAATGAATGGTGGCCGTTATTTTTTCCTCGTGTTCTGAAGGAAATTTTTTCCACGAAGCTCAGAAAGCATGATCGCAAGTAAGTTTTGCAATCCCTTTAAGCGCCATTATTTAGGAATTGAGATGAGTTAATTTCTGCTGGAATTTATGTAAATATGAAATTATGCTAATTATTTTATGCTGTTTCAAAGTTCAGTCTCTGATTCAAATTCCATTTGCAAAGGAATTGTCAAGGATTTCCTTTTTCTTCTCCATGACAGTTTTTGTATCACTGCAGGATCTTTTTGCAACTATCATTTTTGTGCAACCATTCAGTGAAATCTAGCTCAAAACAGGTAATTTTACATATCGTTTCAGTTTATCAAAAATTTCGCCATTTCAGTCTTGCAATTTTTTTAAATTCAGAATCAAGGTAATCGTTTTTATCTTATTTATGGTTAAGTTTGTGACTCCCGGCTAATTTTAATTTTCAGTCTGCTATCATTCTCGAACTTTTCAATCTTATCAAAGAAATAGCAGCCAGTGTTTTGGATAATTATGCAGTTGATCGCCAGTGTCAGAATAACTTGGACGTTACCTTGTTTTGTTGGTCTCTGATGCTTCTTTCGAGCGCGTTTGATGTTATCACTTACAGTAAGTGGGATTCTCTCTAAATCTGAATTTTCAATTTCCCTTGCAGATTTTACTTTTGGTTTTACTCTGTTTGTTTTGCGTTATTTGCTATTTGCTGAAATTCCTTCTTGTAACATGGGAGGCAAAATGTTGTGAGATCCATTTCCGGAAACTGTTTACGCTGTTATTTATAAATTTTGTCATTAAATTTTTATTGTCACAATTTAGAATATTGTCGATTTCACTTATACCCTTACACATATATTTTTGGGAAGATTGAGATGGATCAAACGAAATATTAGCTATATTCGTAGCGGAGCTCAGGAAAACTGGGAAAGGGATGTGAGCTGAAGTAGCCAGTATTCATAATGTTCCACTACTTTTTCTAACTTTTGACAAATAAATTATAAGTTAGAAAAGTAATCGTCATACTGACTGTGCTGAAATGGATGATGCGATGACTTATAACCAATGTTTGTTTGATAGTTACTCATTAGGAAGCAATATATTTTTGTTTCGTCACCTTTATCATGTTTTCAGACAAAAAGAAGAACGACCGTTGGGCATTCATTGGAGGTGAGTATTCGCGGGTAATGACATCGAATGAAAAGGATGATTCTGTGCCTAGATGGCAAAAGAAAAAGTTGCCGAAGTTTGGGAATAATGACGAAAAAACCACAGAATCTTTAAAGAATATAAGCCCTGCTACTTTGGTAATTAGTTCTAATTAAATATGCCATACAAAATAGCTTGTAAGGTTTTTTCAGAAATTTGTCTATTTCAGCAATATCTTAATTCAATGGCAATTTTCGTAAATTTGCGCAATGATCAAAACAGCTATTCGGAATTCTAGTTTGATTTTTTCTGCATGAGCACAGAAAAAAAAAAATTAAAACCGCACTTCATGAATTTGCGAATTTCACCTTCATGTCTAACACTCTTGTTTTACACTGAACAATGCAGTGCTTTAAGGAGATAGGAGCGTTGAAGCTAGGTTGAAGTATAGCAGGAAGTCATTTCCTTCAATAAAGTTATATAGACAGTCAAGACTACACCGTGCGAAACATAGTTTTGGCAGCTGCTAAACTCAGCTAAATAGGGTAGTGTTTACACAGTCAATGCGCGTCTTTGTTCAGCATTTAGTTGGAATCTGTGTTCAATCTTCAGCTTCTTTCAAAAAAGGAGTACTCCGTATTCTATATGACTGGACTAGATAGTCGGAGTAGTACCACTACATATTTTTTGTATTTTTTAGAAAACTCAACTCGAGACATTGTGGGAGAAGCACTTAAAGGTGATGGAAGCAATGAAAGCAAATATGAAGATGACTAAGGCTTTAAATGCCAAAATGCAAAAGAAAGTTGAAATGGAGAAGAAAATTCATGGCTTATCCCCACCTAATAAAATGGGCCATTCGGTTCGCTTTTATACGTAAAACTATGTTAAATTATCTCGACACAATCTTCTCCATCCTTTGTTGCCAAGATCTCAAAAGTTTCATCTCTTTTCCACTTTTGACTGTGTCCAATTTCAACCCTCATTCATGTTTCACTTGCTATGAACTTATCTTGCAGCACTGTTAGTAACACCAACAGCCGTTAATTAACAATTTATGTTGCGGTCGGTTCAAGGAAACCTGCTCAGCAAATAAAGTCCTTCATTTGTTAACATAAGCTACAAATAGCCAGTATTTGCACTTTCAAATTGATTTATTTCTGCTTATGTTCTGTCCAGCTCAGTGGTATTAAATACCATTTTGAACATTGTTTGGACGCCGCAGACTTAGGTTTCATCCAGGAATGCGGTCATATTTTGATCCATAAGTTTCGGAATTTGTTCTCTTGTTCATCAGTCGTTCAGAATAGGTGGACAGATGTTCAGCTTCGAATTCTAAAGGTGCTTCTTTTAGGTTTTCGCTGAAACGGACTTCCCAACAGAATTGACAGAAGAGCTGCATGCGACATTGTTACCATTTCTGGGTGAGCAACAAATGGAAGAAATTTTGGCTAAGGTAAGTAATCATCTTTGCTTCATATAAGTCTCCTATCAGAAAAGTAACAAATATAGTTGAAGAGAATGTAGTTTCTATTCATTTTAGTATGCTACTTAACAAGGTACGGCAGAGTTTTTTCTATTTTTTCTTCCCTTTATTTTTTTCATCTTGCTGCCCGTAGTAACTTAACTGTTCAAAAGAATGACTAATATACAGTTCGTGCTTTTGTATGTCAGCTTAAATTAAAAACACTGATTTTTCAGCAGTATACCCATCATCAAAATTCAGATTTGAAGACATCAATTGATTCTTGTACGTTTCTTAATATTTTCGTAGAAATTCATGAATATTTACATATGTTTTACACCAATGTCATTCGACAATTATTGCATGTTTATTTAGTTCAAAATAGATTTTTTAAGTTGAAGTATATCTGGATGATCTCTAACTGTGGCAGAATCTATTTTAGCTGAATCAGCTTTGAAAAAGGCAATATCCATGGCCAGCAAGAGTAATTCCCGACCTCGGTGCAGACAGTACAATATTCGTCTGAAACTTCCTCACGAACCTTGTGTTAATGTTGCTCGAAAACTGATCACTTTGCTTTGTAACTTTGAGAAGCAACTTCCTATATTAGCCAAACTGATAATATGTAAAGTAAGATTATATTTCTGAAGTTCATCTGATGTGGTCTTTTGATTTACTTTTTTTCTCCCCTTTTTTTTCTATTTTTTAGCCAAAATTTGAATGAAATAGTTCAAATTATTGGAAGAAAAAAATTGATATACTGATTACTCCTTGAATTTAGCGGACAATCATCAGACGCTGCTGATTAACCATGTTATCAGTATTACTTTGGTAAGCATTTCCAGGTTGTTGCTCGTATATGTATTAGCGCATCTTACCACGTTATTCCTTTGATTTGCGTTTTGGAAGGTCCAGTTGACAAGCTGATAAAAATTGGTTGGTTTTGTAAATTCATGAAACTCTAAAAATTATTAAATATAATCCATTAATGTTCAATTATCTTCGTTGGATCAGTTGCATTAGTCTAATGTTAGAATTTTCATATTTAAATTACTTTATTTTTTAGTGGAAACATAATCGAATTAAATGATAGTTATGCTTTACAACAGCAGTGATGAGAAACATTTATGTTAGATTTATTTACTAGAAAAGTTTTCTTTTAAATTCAATTTACAATTTTCTATTTTCGCCCACTCATTTTTGCGAGTTGACATTATTTCAGGATTGGAGGAGCAGGGGACGGGTTTGCTCAAATATGCAGTCTTGCACTTAATTTTAGATGTTATTGAAGCAGAGTCACGTGGTGTTTCTAAGCTAAATGTATTTTCGAAAAATCAAATTCTTGTGAAAAATAAGGATTCAAAGACATCTGAAATATCAGAAGAGCTTGATTTGATTTGCATGCATCATACGGGGTGCCATTTTGCTGAAATCATTCGTGGTAAATTTCATTTCGTTCAGCCAGATTGAACCTTTTGTTCTGCTGTAATTTTCAGCTGGACTGTCTGCTCTTAAAATTATAGCAATGCGATATTTGCATTCAACTGTAAAGAAAACCGTTTTATTTGGTTCTTCAAAAAGTGTAGTGGACAGTTAATTTGCCACTGGTAGACTTTTTGTGATATCGTTGCTTTCATGATTTGATTAAAATCTACAAAAGAACAATTATGCAAATATTCTATGAGGAATCACGAAGATCCGGAGAGTTCAGAATCTTATGCATATCGGGATATGCTTTGTGCTAATTTATATTAATTGTAGCAAAATCCAAAAAGGAAATAATGGACGACGTGGAAGAACGAAAATCAACTGGCATTACGGCGGCTGTCTGTTGCCTTCCAGAGGCTTTTTGCGGAGCAAAAACTTCTCAGTCCTTCAGCATTGCAAAGTAGAGTTTATTTAGCGTTCCAAAGTATTTGAATCAGCTGAAAAATCATCTGGTTTTACAGTAGGATAACTTATTTGGCACAGTGATTTCTTGTCTTCACTGTGTTGAAATATGGAAAGATTGCTTGTCGGTAATGTAATGAAGTTTGCAGGAACATCATGGCAAAGATTCGAAACTTGAAATTGCACTTTTTAACCAAATACCTACATCTTATCAATGAAATGATGGATTAATCATAACTGAATCATATTAATAGAGCATAATAACGCTAGACATACCCTGTGTTCTTTGACATACTAATCCCAAAAACGTAGCTGTTAACATTGTTAGAAGATAATAGTACATTTTTCTCGTGAGCTGTCAGTATCAGTAATGTCCAAGTACTAAATTTCTAATTCTCTAGTAACTCGCATGATTTTGTTGGTATCCTGAGAACGATTGTGACCCAGTGACGAACCACTGAAATGCTTTTGACGTGAAGTGCAAATTTTGCTTTCAGCTATGATGAACAACCTGAATTAGGATCTGAACTGCTGGAAACACTGATATGTCAAGTTCTGATGAATACTAGGCAAGCGGTGGTACCAGACGGTCCTAATGATGAAATTCGAAATCATACTTATCAGAGCAAGTAAGCTATTTTTTCAGCGATTGATCGGTTATTTTATCAGTTCATTTTTTCTTTGAAAAAGCTGTTTGCATCTCTCCCGGGTCATTCACAGTAGTCAATGAAACAAAAAGGAATCATGAAGGCATGAAAAGTTCTTGATTGAACAAAAGATAGCTGGTGATTTGTGATTTGTATGTCTTGGTTTCCGTTGCTGTTATCATCTGCATTTTTAGGGCCAAGGAAATGATCAAGGGAAAACTTGCAAAAGGTGAACGATTTTGTTATGTGTTTCGCTGGATTGATGATCTTTTGGAAGTCGATGAGCAAGCTGCTCGTTCCTGCAATGGTGTACGTTATAATATTTTTAATTTTATAAAATATTTTATATTTTATTCGTAGCGGAAAGATTTGGAGAGTTCAAAAAGGTTTTTCCGTTTGCTTCTCTTCATATATTGAGGCTAAAGATGAAGTGAAAATGAAATCAGACAATTTCAGGCTTATTTGACTTAGGGTTCCACTTCATATCTAATGCCGTGAAATTTTCGGTCTTGCGGTTAGTTAGCAGTTGAGGTTTGAGTAAACTAACGAGATCAAGAATATTCAGCTTGTGGACGTCGTTAAATACAGCACAGTTTATCTTTAGATGATATTTCTTTATAGGTTGAGTCAGCCAGTGTTATAAATCTGACACTTAAGGTTGTAAAATTTTCGATCTCTTGACTGATTTGGCCTTCCATTTTCTACGTATATTTGCGGGCGTTATACCGGATTTTAGGATGTAGAATCATATCTGGAAATGATGGAAACCCAAACATCATTAAATGCAGCATATGAAGGACGTTCGACTATATCAAAATCAGCGTTTATTGCTTGTTGCATATCAGAATACATGCGCTATCTCAATGATAAAAAAAGCGGTTAGTATGTTTGCTTCCGATGTAAAATCTGAAGAGCCAGATGGTATGATCGTAATGGTAATACATTATTAACTCAAAGTTAAACCCAGTCTTTTCAGATTCTGAAATCTTTAAAATTCATTTTAGATGAATCAATTCACGGTCTTGCATCTTCCTCACGGATAGCTGTACCAAGATCCAGTTCACCTTCGGCTTTTGAATTTCCGATGCTATGCATGGCCGATGTAGAAATGGAAGAAAGTGAAGATAAAACGGCACAGAACGATGGGCATATGGAAGCGATGAAAAACACAGTTGCTTTTGCAAGCAATGCTTTCCAAAATATTACAAAAGGTACTTCCACTTTTTTTGCTCTCAAACATTGCGATTTATTGTTTCCACTTTGTTAAATCCACTTATTATTTATTAGTAAGTTAAATTGTATTTCGATGCACGTGACAGTATTTTGCTGTATTTTTTATATGTACACAAAAGTTTTTTTCAGTGACGACTTGTACTTTTGAACTTGAACGTTTAGAAGCACGGAATTTGTTCAACTTAGCAATTCAGCGTGAAGAAGCTTCCATGAAAATGGTTTTCTTGTTTGAATTCCAGAATTAATATCTTTCGTTAAAGAAGTAGCAAATCTCAAAATTTCTAAAATGAACTGCTTGAACTGATTGTTGATCTGTTTAGTCTGATAGTTAGCTCAGGCGTGTTATTTAAACAAAGCAAATACCAGAATAATTCTTTCTGTTTGAAACTGGTTACGTTTACAGAGCCCTGTTCTTTGTTTTCAGGAACCGTATTCTTCAGTTCAGGAACCGTGCTCTTCGGACAGTAAAATGAAGAAAGGTATGGAAAAGTGGATACCGGTGAAATTGATGCCGAAAATACCCGTGAACAAAGAGATTTATGTGGAACATATAATGGCTAGCTTTCTAGTGCGTCATACTATGAAAAAATTCTAATATTCCAAATGACTAGGAGAGTTTTGATGTAATTGTCATTCTGATATTAAGTCACTACCCACCAAAAACAATGTATAGCCATACATTTTTTGATTAACACATGCTGCTATATTCATAGTTGAGCTAATAATAATTTAAACTTTCCAATCCTAAAGCTTTGAACGCAGGACTGGATATGGGAAGTTGAGTGTTTTCAAATTTGAGGTCGTCGAGATTTTTGAGTATATTTTAAGTTTATTACTAGTAGCGCTGTCAGTGCAGATTTTTTCCTCGATACAGAACAGATAAGAAATATTGGAAGATTACCGAAGAAGAGGGATAAGTTGGTTGTATTTTTCAGAGTGAATCACGATTGGCAAGAAATGACATCCTAATACAACCTTGTTCCTTTGTATATCCTGATCATTTGACGCAACAATTAGGCTTGAACCAATATGTTCATTGCATGAATATGGATTTCCTTGCTGATGCTATTACAAGGTTATTCCTACGATTTTTCAGTTAGTAAATTCAGGAAGTGTAGAGATGGAACATTCCTGTAAAGGAGCTTTAACGGATGTCATGTTTCTATTTAATGATGGATTAATGAGAATGATTTTGACAACTTTGCAGATATTCAATTCGAGATCTAAGTAGGTGGAGATCTTGCTTGTTATCTCGTCCTCGATTACCAGAAGATGAAACGATGCGCTCACATCTTGGCGAAACACTGAATGCAACCAACGCTGCTCTTGGACGATTTGTTCAGTCCATTTCATCTAGTGACTCTGATGAAATCGTCGAACAGCTTCTTACCTTTTGCTTGGATTTTGAAGCTGGACTTATTTGTAGGACATTTTACATTTCAGTTTTCTTTCAGCATTCAAATTCTGATGTAATCATTAGTAGGTAATGTTTTTGTTTTGCGAGGAACAAATTTTGAACAATATTGTCGCGGTAAGTAAAGCCTTTTTTAGCAAGCAAACCCTGCATTAATTTCGAACTTTGTTAGTTTTTTTTTTTTTTTGGAGTATATTAGTGAATTTGCTATGGCGGAGCTTTACGAAATAATCTGATGTTTTTCTAGATTCAACGAAGAAATTGTCTGCAGTTAGCAGGTGCATACTTCCCGCTGAAAACATAACTTCCATTGTGAACTTTGCGGTAATGTCGAATTCACTTTCTGAACACTTATGGGTGCTCGTGCTGCGCATCCTGGATCTCATAATCAAAAATGATGTAAAAATTTGTAATTTAATTTGTCAGTTCAAAAGAATTTGATATAGTTTCTAAAAATTTAATTTAATTTTTTTATCAGTTCAAAGGGATTTGATATGTAGTTTTATTTGATATAGTTTATTTCATACTTTATTTCAATTTTTAAAAATGTCAAGAAAACGTTAGGAAGCAGTGCAATATGTAATTATAGATTAGCGTTTTCATGTTTTCGCTTTCATGTATGAAATTGACTTATTTTGAATTGAAGTGAAAGGAATAGAGCTATTTCCATGTATAGAATATTTTTGCGGTTCATTGTATGTGTTTCCAGTCCACGGCCTCAGCACTTCTGATTGAATCACCCCACTTCTGCAAATTAATTAATAATTTCTTGGTGAAAAGTATTTCAAGAGTTAATTATTCCTTAACGGTAAGTGTTCGTTCAAATTTTAAATCATAAACTTATGAACAACTACGTTTTTTGATGTGCCGGTAGTTTTACTTCACTCAGTGCACTATGAATTACGATTGTGTATCTGTGCACCGTCCCTTAAAAACACAAATTTTGAACAATATTCTTTGTTCGTATCATTGCTAGAATTAAAAAATTATTTTTGACTGTAGAAAATAAAAGAATTATGTCTGACTTTTTCAAATTTTAAAATTTTCAAAAAACGAATTTCTCTTGCGGAAAATTGTATATGCACGTTTTTAGACGGGTCCCTCAACGATATGTGCCTTCAAAAGTTTTATTACACGACTTCATGATTCACATGATATCTCTCTTCGTGGTATTCTTTGTGTCAAAATTCTCACTGTCCTCAAGGATATTTCTTCACAGCAGTATGATTTTATTTGCTAGTTACATTTTATTAAATTTAATGAGCCTGTGCTGCAAAATCATCCTATTCTTTCTGAACAAGAAGTTTGGAAGAAACTGCAGTAATAGATAATGAAAGGAACTAGTGCTAGTTTTTTTGCAAGAAATTAGAAGCGTGATTCTATAATCATATCTTAAAGTAGGAAATTCGGTTCCACTTCGCATAATCCCATGAAATCTTTGGTACAAATAGTCCAAGGTGACCAAATGCTATTGTAACGCAGACAGTAGCGTTTTGCTTATAATTGCAGGAATGATTTGATTAATTTCTCGTATCCAATCGACTGCTTAGTTGAATTATTAAATATTATGACAAATTATGCATCAGACTATGTCAATGTGGCACGTAAGCGTTTCCTATTTTAAGCCAACTTGGTGTAGTTTTATAAATTCATGGTGAGGGAACTAAATTTATTTGGCATGAAGAATATCCGTTCAATTGTCTACTTAGAATAAAATGACGGATGCACAGTTGGACAGAGGCATAGTTCTAACCAAGCATAATTTTTACAGTTTACGGTTTAAAATATCTAAATGTAAGCATAAATACTTTTGGGTGAGTAATTTCAACTGAATTTCAAAAAACTAAAACGTAGTTCGTAAATAATCAGTGAATAACTGGGTGGTAAACATTATTTGTTTATTCGGTTCCTTTATGCAAAAAAATCTGAATCGATCTGCTTGTGCTATACTGCCTTGTCCAGATTTTAACTGAATAACATATGCATTGAAAATAAATACGAAATTTTTATTTTCAGCACAGGAACTTGCTGGATATATATCGTCATCGATTCATACAACACGAAACTTCATCCATTATTACAAGTCTTCGGGAGGTTACTCACTAGTCTCTGCTGATTCATATCTTCGACCAAACACATGCTTTCAAGTTTGATTTTTTTTCTGTTTTGAAATTTGAATATAATAGGTCAATATTTTTGTGAGTATTTATGCTTAACTTACAATCGGAAGTAAGCACTCGTTGGTTTCGATTTTTCATCTTATATTTTGCCATGTTGGCACAGTTTTCGACACTGGTTTGTTTTATCGTACACTTAACTAAGGTTTTGCTTGAACTGTTACGAAAGCTACCAAATGTTATATTCTTTGGCCAGTTTACTGTCAACTGCGACAAAAAGCTTAA